GGAAATGATTAAAAGAAGGCATTGCTTGAAACTCTCAGCGGCAATGCCAATTGCACAGTGCGGCTTCAGAGAAAGGTTAGCATTTAAACTGAATTTCAGGATAAGCAAATGTTGTCAAAATACAAGGAGGCATGTGTATTCTTACTTGAATCTTGGTGATCTTTGTATATTACAGTCAGATCTGTGCAGAAATCCAGAGTGAGGGCTGGTTCACACCACCTGCGGTGGGACAGCAACCCGAATGCAAGACAAGGCAATTTTCCTCGTCATGGATTGGCTCGATTCACACCACTGCGTTTGGGTGGTGTGCACAAATAAAAAAGGACATGCAGTACTTTTTTTTTTTTAAAGCGCATCGCAGTGAGACACGGTACAACCGCACTGCACAGCATTGAGCTCAAAGAACTGAATGAAATGCCACTTGTTACATTTCAATAAAGTTCTACAAAAAAAGAAACAGGGCGATGCAGCTTCATCAAGCACAATGGCACTGTGCGGGGGGGACACACAACAGCAACTGTGCAGTTGAGCGTGGCTGCTGGGGTGAAACTGCCTCTCTGCAGGAGATTCCTGTAGTAAAGACCAGCTACTACTGCTCTCTCTCTCCTTGTACAACATGACTGGTTTTGTCTCTGCCCCTCCGGTAGTTTTCTTCAGGCAGCCTGTAATGGGTGGACCTGCTTGGTTGCTCCAACAGCTCTGCTCTCTGCACTGACATGTGCAGCACAGTGATGATGCAATCTCTGGGTTTGCAAATGGATTTGGTGCACACAAAGTGGATTTATACCCTTTATGACCCTTTATAAGGAATAGATCTAAATGAAAACTTTGGTACTCGGAGTTCAGCTTTAAGCATGTAGATAAAATACGAATGTCAACTAGTTGCTGGCATTTGGCGATCACATAGTGGATAGCATTAGTCATAACTAACTCCTTCAACATTCTTGTTCTTCAATCTTTGTGTTGCACTATAATTGTGCTATTTATCAAATCTATATTTTTAGTAAAAAGTACATGTAAATTAATTTTAGCGCACACAAAACTACATAATACCCATTTTTTTTAAAAAATATAACAGATTAAGCTGTGTAGAGTAAAGAAACCTTGATCAGCATGTAGAAGTGATTGGGCGGCTTCACAGCCACCCTGATCACTCCTACTGCATAGGCGCCAGCTGGGAGGGAAAAAACGTACACAAACTCCCAGCTGCTATAGTAATACTTATGTTGGTGGCAGCGAATGGGTTCAAGAAAACCATGTTCTGCAGCGCTTAATAAGATTCCTGTGATAAGTGGCAACAATGCATCACTGCTCCTGAATTAAGGGAAGTGTTGTCACTCTTGAGTAGGCTGTGCTGGGATGAAATGTTGCAGGGGGCGTGGCTATCGATATTGTCACGGCTGATTCACATATCTGTAGCTTGTCAATTAACACCTAGCCACACCTAGTCCTGCCCACTGCCTTCTGGATTGACAGCACTGCCTCTGTTACTGAAACCTTCCCACTGTGAGCTGCAGTTTCTGGGTAGTAGAGCATGTGAGACACAAATGAAGGAGCATTTGGCTTAGTCGGAGAGGGTAAAGTAAGTTTTTTTTAAATCTTTATAAGGTTTGTGGTTTACATAGTAATTGGATTTGGACATTCTTTAGATTGTCATACAGGAGCCTTTAGATGAACTTTAAGCATATTGACAATACGCAAATAAAGTTGGATCATCATCTTGTTGTAGGGTATATTTGAGGTCTGTCATTATTCCTTAAAGCGGACCTTTACCCATATCTTTCAAATACCAACAAACACAGCTTTAGAAATGTTTAGTAATGACAATCTACAAACACATACATATAGATAATTGCCGGCTTTGTATTCTTTGTATACCTTTATTCTCTTTTCTTCCCTAGTCTTCTGACAGTGGCCATGTTAACTAAGGGCAGTTTACTATCTTTCCCTTTATTTCCAGGGACTCTGGTACATGTGACTAGGACATGTGACCATGGACATCATCTCAGGGGAGGAAAATGCCTTTCCCTGAGATCCTGAGCCTGCCATCCTGCACAGATGATTGTAATGGTTTTGTAAATATTTACGAATCAAGCTGAAATCAAGTAAGATGTCTCAATGGTCCTGTTATCCACTACATTGTTCTGTGGAAAAGGCAGATTAGTCTCTTCCAGTGTTCCGTAAGCTTGCTTTTACTGCTTGAGGAAATCACTTAGGGCCTGTTCACACCAAATCGGGACCAGATCTGCATGAGTTTCTGCACATGCAATGCAGTGCGTTTTAGCCTAAAATGGGCTTTCAGCGCGTTCCAGGGCAGAATAAATAGAGCAGGGATGGCCAAACTGTGGCCCTCCAGCTGTGGTGGAACTACGAATCCCATGAGGCTTTGCAAGATTCTCACAGTCACAGACATGACTCCCGGAGAGAGATGCTTCATGGGATTTGTAGTTTCACCACAGCTGGAGGGTCGGAGTTTGGCCATCCCTGAAATAGAGCATGCTGGAAAATTTTTACACATGCTCTGGAACTAAATGCTGTGGTGTGAACTAGAGCCCAAAATACCATTGGAATACATTGGATGCAGTTTTGATGCGTTCTGTAACTACTCTGTATCTACTCTGCACTTGGTGTGAACAAGCCCTTAGAATGCACAATGTGTGATGCTTAAAGGAGAACTATGGGGTCAGGGCTTTTCCCCATAGTTCTCCTTAGGGTAACGGGAGGACACAAACTAGCGTCCTCCCGTCACCCTACAGCTCGCGGTATACTGAGACGCTGCAGTTGAAGCGGATCCCGACAATTATGCGTGAGTGACAGCTGGCTCTGCCTATCTAGAGGCAGAGCCAGCTGTACCCGCCCCATTCGTTCCGCCAGTCAGCGCTGAAGGATCGGAGCGGGAGGGGGGAACCAGCCCCTCCCCTGTCACTGCAGAGAGCCGTGACAGGATCGAGAGGTGAGCGAACGCCGGTATGTGTTCGCTCGCCTCCCGATCTACTGAGCCGACCTGTGACAGTCTCATTGTCACAGGTCGGCCAGAACTATGAGGTGAGTGGAAAGCACTCACCTCATAGTTCTCCTTTAACATAAGGTTTAGTGAACCCTTCATGTAGTGCTGGCTGAACTCTGCCCAAATAGCAGTAAACAGAACGAATTTTAAATGGAACACTGGCACTGGTAAACTTTATGATTAAACAAGATAAGGCTGAACAAATAAAATATAAAAAGGGCAACAAGCTACGAGGAAGTTTCACTACATTCTTAAAACTTAATATGCAAGGCAATGCGTCTTCAATGAACACCAGTTTCAGCTTTATTGCATGAACAAAAAGACCAGCACTGTGTAGGCTCCAGTTCTCCTTCAATGTCCAACTAAGGGGGTACATGGGAAACCTCAAATACCAAGTCAGAGAAGCTGGAAGAAGACTACAATGATAAGTGTACAGAGGGCCATCAAAACATCAGTACTAAGACTTGTTGCTACATTTCACCTGCTGCTTGTTATGTATGACCTACAGTCAGAGACCTTAGAAATGAAAGCAATTATATTGCTTCACATGTATATCATCTTAAAGTCTCCCACTCCACCCAAAACTTGGTTCTCAAAGAAAAGAAAAATGATGTGTGGCTCAGTTATTACGGTTTTGGAGTCATTTGTGAAAAGTGGATTTCCATTTTTGCCACCTAGTTGGGATAACGCCTATATATTTGTTACATAGTCCAATTTACATCTCATAAGCTTAAAAAAAAAAAAAGAATTAAATGCTTCTCGCTGTTTAAATTTCTTTTAGGTGGGTAAGGGGTTCTACTTTGCTTATTAAGGGTTAACATTTCTGCTTGGTTTCTGCTTCTTAGGGTGTGCAATGTATGGTAATGAATTTAATGAGAGAAACACAATCCTCAAATTTCAGTCTATAAGGACAGGTCACTGTGAAGGTGCTCGGAAAAACCTGGAATCAGCCATGTTGCCCTCTGCAACAAAACATCTAACAGGTAAGAATTTTTTTTTTATTAACATTTTTCCGTATGCTTTGTAAATAGGAACACACAACAAACATATAGGGAGCTTTTCTCAAATTTGACTGCAAAAAGTGTAAATACACTTTGAGGTTTTAGGGTATTTTGTTGTTTTATTAGTATGATTTTAGGGCATTTAGTGGCTCAGTTATTAAGATTTTAATGTATGTTGTTGCTCAGTTATTAAGGTACTTTGTGGCTACATTTTCATGGTTTTAAGGTAAATTTGTGGGGGGATTTAAAGCTGCCCATATACGGAGCGAATTTTAGCTGGTTCATTAGGAAATTTCACCCAGTAGGTGACCCTGTCTGTAGCCTCACACCCAATTTTTTTTCAATCTAAAAATGGAGCCGGGCAGAAATTTCTCAGCCAAACGCTGACTGCAGCCAGCCAGCTACAATCACTGTTCGGGTATTCTGACTGTGGCACACCCACCTCTGTCAGAACACAACAGCCAAGCAGAGGTGATTCCCCCATCCAATCTACTTGTTTATTCCCAGTGTTAAGTGTTTCCATGTGGGCTACATAGGCAACGCACAGGTTTGCTTTAAAAGGAGAACTATGAGGCGAGTGAGTTTCACTCATCCTCATAGTTAGAGCCGACGTGTGACAATGAAACTTTCACAGGTCGGCTCTATTGATCGGGAAGTGAGCGAACACATGCCATCGCTCACTCACTTTCCGATCATCTCCCTGCAGAGATTCCCCCTCCCCACTTCGATCCCCCAGCGGTGACAAGAGAAACGGACGGGAGAGGGGGCGGACACAGCTGGCTCTGCCTCTAGATGGGCAGAGTCCTCTGTCAATCAGCCAGCTGGGTGGATCGCAACAGTATTGTCGGAATCCGCCCTGTCTGCGGTTGTCTCAGTATATAGCGAGCAATAGCCCGCAATATACTGAGCTGTGGGTCACGGGAGGAGTTTAGTATATGTCCTCACATGGCCCTAAAGAGAACATTGGATAAAAAGGTTACCCCATAGTTCTCTTTTAAATAAAAAATGATTAATCCTAAAGTTTTGTTAATCATTTTTGAAGCTTTGGATAGATAACGCTTTTCTATCCGTTTCCTGTTACCGCTCCCAAACAAATCACTTAGATGGGTGCCTTTCTTTCCGAGTTACTGCATCGCCAGACGTTCTAGTTTATTTATAAATGGTTCAACCAGCTTTCATTCCCATCACAGATACATTTTTGTTTAAACCCCAGCCAAATTACCTTAGGAGATCTTTCCTGTTGATAAGGGCTTTCATATATTCAGAGAGCTTCTTCTGCATCAGTGCCAAGCGTAACCAGGCCCGCCCTCTACCTGCAGGTGTCCTAGATACAAAATGAATGAATAAATGAAAGTAATAGCCTTTATTAATGTTCAATTATCTTTCAGAATTTACAACACAAAGCTTCCTAAAGCTGGCCATACACCAGTAGAATTTTGTTAAAAAGTTTTTTTTCGGAACATTCGTTACATTTTCTAATAGTTAATGGAGTGAAATTGACGATTATTTTAGATAAAAAAATTAAAGGAGAGAGATGAAACATTTTTTTCGAATAAAGAGCTGGATTATTTTCTTTACATGATTAATATATTCATTTAGCTGGGCACATCTATATGGGCTAAACCTCTGTGGTAATGGTCTGTAACCCAAAATGAAAAGGCACAACAGGACAAAATAACTACAATGTACAACTGATGCTCTCCTGAGAAAGCGCGTCATAATATATATATGACTTGTGAGTGTGCCATGATGCCTTTCTACTGTCTACTGTTTTAAGCCCATTTCAGCACTCACACCACTAAAGTGTCAGCAAGCATATTGCAGTCACAGACAAGTAACACTTTGGGGTCCATTTATAAACAAAATCGCAGAGCTATTTGCCCTGCGAATCTCTGATCATGTTTGTTCTGAGGCAAAAACTAACATTCTTATTAGATCATCTTTTCAGGTTGAATTTTATGTAATACTGTATTATAGCCACTAGATAAAGTTCAGGAGCATAGGATATAAATTCTTATTGCCAGTACTACTTAGCTCCATCTAGTGACCATAATGATGAATTACATTATATACTTATTTCTGATGCTTCTCAGCTGCATCTAGTGGCCAAAACACAGTATTGCATTACATTCGACCATAAAAGAACCTATACCACGATATGATTTGTGTTGCGTCTATTCGCACAGAACGAATGTTTACAAAGATTCATAGTGCAAATGGCTCTGTGAATTGTTTATACATAGACCCCCTTTGTGTATCTAAAAGTAATAATATCCTATGTATAAAGCTGGTCAGCAAAGCTTTGTGGGACAGTGTAAAAGACACTTTATACGTATAATTGTGTCTCACTGTACTTAATTTTACTTGTGAAGTCGTATGTGGTTGTAACCTTTTTTTGCATATACATTTGATTAATAAAAATTTTATTTTTAAATTACACTGTAGTGGTACCGCTAGTTCAGTTTGTTTTATTTGTAAATAATCTATATATTTCGGATGTGATACCTGGGCTAATTACAGCTCCAATACATGCACCAATCTTCTAAACAACAGAAATACATTACAAACCTATGAAGATTTACACATGCAACCATGGAGGATAACACCATGAGGGGAATTTATCAACACTAGAGCAGACAAAATCTGGAGCAGTTGCCTATGGCAACCAATCAGCTTCTCTCTTCAGTTTGCTCAGTTAAGATTTGAAAATGAAAGAGAGAAGCTGATTAGTTGTCATGCTCCAGATTTTGTCTGCTCCAGTTTTGAGAAGTTCCCCTCTATGAGAGTAAAGCAAAAGAATGCAACTTACTTGAGACCGGGAAGATCCTTCACACTAGCTGTGATTTCTGAGGCTTCAGGTACAAGTTTCTCCACCAGTTCCAGAGGGCCCCAGAAGGACTTATTCTGCCCAAGAAAGGTCTTCTTAGCTAGCAAACGACAGTGGAACACAAAAGGCTTCCCTTGTATAAAACGTGGCAAGACATTTCCTTGTTGTACAATTAAATGTATTCATGGAGTTAGGATGTCTTTGCATATGTTCATGGTACTAATCATTTTAGGGATACGCACCATCTACAGCTCTGCATTAAGAATCACTGATCTGTATATGAAGAATAGAACCAATGCACAAACAGTAAAACACAATGAGGGGAATTTATCAAAACTGGATGAGAAAGAAACTGGAGCAGATGCCTACAGCAACCAATCAGCTTCATTTTCAAGGCTTCACTTAAGGGAGAAGTATGGGGTCAGTGCTTTTCCCCATAGTTCTCCCCAGGGTCACGGGAGGACACAAACTAGCGTCCTGAAACCGCCGCAGCCAGGACAGATCCCGACATTACTGTCTGGATCCACCCAGCTGCGGGATTGACAGCTGGCTCTGCCTATCTAGAGGCAGCGCCAGCTGTACCCGTCCGTTCCGCCAGTCAGCGATGGAGGATCGGACAGGGGAGGGGGCGGGAATCCCTGCAGGGAGCCGTGAGTGACAGTCACGGCTCTCTGCACGGATAGATCGAGAAGTGAGCGAGGGACGGTATGTGTTTGCTCACTTCCCGATCTACTGAGCCGACCTGTGACAGTTTCATTGGGGGGAAATTCCCCCCAATGTTCTCTGTACATCACCATCATCCTGTGTAGGGATCAATGTTATTAACGTGTAGTGCCGAACAACGTCCAGTCACCCTATGCTGAATGAAGATCAGATTAATCAGGTGCATGGGTATGGCCCTAATAGAATATGTGATTGTCTAAGTTTCAGAAATATAATGCGACAGGATATCCAACAATTTTTCAACATTTAGAAAGGGACCATCATTTGTCACCACTACCACTGCCCATACCTTTTAAGCCATGCTTTAGACAGTGCTCCATCACCACAAAGAACTGCTGCAGAGGTGCATAGTCAGAGTCCAGTGTCCGCCCCAGATTAAGTGCAGACTCGATTAAGCCCTTTATACTCAACTTTGCCATGTTCATAAGATTCATCCGTTCGTTGGCCATCAGGTAATTGGGGTCTAGGGATAAAAAGAAAAAGAAATCATTGCAGCTGTGATGCTAAACATGCAAGGGCTGGATTCAGAATATTTGACCTGAATACAATTTTTATGATGAATACAAAGTAAGCATTTATTGAATTCATATAGGGCAGTGGACAGTCTGTGCCAACTACATGCCCCCAACCAACACTGCGATCCCTGGTACTAATCACAAAAAAGAAGGACTGAAGTGGATATTTATTCATTTTAGCAACCAAGACCAGAACTTTACAGTAGATACTCAATCATTAAAAAAAAAGCTCTGACCCAGTGAAGCTTACAGTTACTTTAAAGCAGTTAATATAAAGCATATCAAAATCCCAAACTGAAAATGTGATATATTGCAGCTTACCGGTCTTTAGAGATTTAACGAAAATAGAGCAGCTAATCAGATTCTCTTCCATTTGTTCAGTTAAGCTTTGAAAATTGAATTTGAGATGGGCTGCCATGGGCAACTGCTCCAGATTCGATAAATCTCCCCCCATTGTGATTACAATAGGAGACGGATACCATTTGTTTAAACAGCAAAACATTATGGGGCGAATTTATCGAAACTGGAGCAGTTGCCAGGGCAACCAATCAGCTTTGCTCTTCAGTAACCAATCAGCTTCGCTCTTCAGTTTGTTCAGTTAAGATTTGAAAATGATAGAGAGGCTGATTGGTTGCCATGCACAGCTCCAGATTTTGACGGCTCCAGTTCTGATAAATTCCCCTCAGTGTATCTAGGGCTGCATCCAATTAATCAATGAATTGATCGTGAATTGATTATGTGAATAGTTGTCAACTATTCTCATTATCGATTAGTTGGTTGGATCCCCTAGCTCTCTCCTCCACACTGGGAGGGTGCAAAAGCCAGTCTGCTATGGGCTATTGCAATTTGAAATGGCCAATAGCAGGCTGGTTATTGCACATACTGTACATCTCTGCAATTCTGAAAAATACATGCACTGTGTTCTATCCATTTGAAGACACTGCAAGTACAGGAAAATACCTGTTGTCAGTTCACAGCAGGATTTAGGAGCTGAGCTCATTTCTGGCAGATCAACATTGTGCACTTTTGTGGACTGAGCAGTGTCAGCCCTGCCCAGTTTTCTTTTGTTAAAATTACTCAACACCAACCTACTCTCTTCCATCTACACAACATAGACACAAATTCTGTAGTCCCAAGACAAGAACTAGGAGGGCTAAAAAAAAAAACCCTCTGTGTGTACAAGACTGAGGACTGCTCTGAATTTCTGAAATGACCAATAAGTATATTTCTTTGCACTTATTGAACAGATATAACAGAACACTTATATTTCAAAAGACCTAAAAGTAGCAAATGAGAGAAGTTCATGGTTAGGCTTTACATTAACTATAAACACTGCTCCTGCATCTAAATTTTGTACATGTTGGAAATGTACCTCTTGGAAAGGAACTGGACAATCACTGGAATTTAGGAAGAGGGTTGTAGGTAGTAAGGAGACGGGAGAAAAATTCTAAAGTTAGGAGGCAGCTGTCATGTGTAAGGAGCACACGGAGCTCCTGGGATTTGTACATCTCTGTTTCAATGTACGATTTTGTTTTTATAAAATATAAATAAAGGGATGAACCCATACCAGTTTTGCGAGTACGAGTACTGATACATTTTTGTTTAGTGTCATATGACAGTTTTTCTAAAACAATACAGACTAATGATTTCAGGACAGTGGTGGAGCGCCAGAGCCAGGTCCCAGCTACAACCGCTGCAACCCTCGTAGTTCTCATGGAAATGCCAAGTATGGCACTGGTACTCGAAAAGTATCTGTGCATCCCTATCTTATACCTCCACTTCTCTCATCATTGATACAGCGGTATTTCTTAATGAAACTGTGGCATCCACAAGCACCAGAATGTAAAAGTGTCATACTTAAGAACTACAGCACCTGAATTTCACACACATCAAAAATATGTAGAAAAATGGCTTCTCATGAATTTGGACTTTATAATGCTGCTAGAATGCCAGCAAAGTCCCCCAAAATTCTAATGAATTTAGATAGGTGTGATATGCAGCAAAAGTGCTCTATACACACACAACCAAGAAGCCCAAACCCATATCATATGAAGTGTAGTATCTTCTTACCTTCTAGAAGAACATCAGTCAGCTCAAAACCCAGGCAAGATGGCAGACTATGATAAACAAAGTTAGATGGCCTGACTTCAGATTTGGGTTTCATCAGAGAAACGATAAAGCCTAGCACGTGAGCAGACATTACAGAACCAGCGAGGAGTCTGACTCTTGTTTCCACTAGCTGGGACATTTATACAAGACAGGAAAAAGCCCTTTTGATTTGCCCCTCCACTCGTTGCAAGGAGACCTTTCCTTCTCTTTAATTATACCATCAGACAGCATTCAAAGAAATGGCCATTGTTTCTCTGCGGGTGAATAATTACAGGCCAGAACACCAACAACTTTAAAGTCATAAATGCTGTATTTAGGAATAGATTGGCTGTGATCACAAGAGGTTAAATCGAGGACCAAACAGTAGGTTTCATTTCCAATAAACCAGCCAGTATTATCTCGTTAGCGCCTTTACAAACTGACATATAAAAGTGATAGAATAAAAGGAATGTCAAAGTATTTGCTTGTATAGTTTTACAGTATAACTGTAGACAAACCTTTTTTTATTTTTAATTAGGTTAGGGTAGCCTTTCTCAACTAGGGTCCTGTAAAACCCAGGGGTGCCACAAATTTGTACACAGTGCCATGCATTTCCATGGAGAATTGCAAAACTCTGATGTGAAGGGGGACTCCTGAAGTGAAAGGTGGGACTCGAATGTGACAGGGGGAACCCCATGACATTTTTATTTGTGTGGGGCCCCCAATATCCATACCAGATCCCAATCTAGGATAATGTTTGGTATGGATTTTGGGGGTACCACGCATCACTTTTACTTTTTTTATATTTTAGACAGGAGTACCTTGAGATTTTGTATACCTTTAAAAAGTGACTGAAAAAAGGTTGACACACACTAGATTAGGGACCAGATAGTCACCCTCTCTACTTGTCTTGGTAACCATTGACAGAAAGTAATGGGAAATCCACAATTTTACAAGTGTCCCCACATTCATTGAATGAATGTGGGGACACATTCATTCAATGGGGACACATGTTCTGGCAACAACTATCTAGAAGGGCATTTTCTTTCATTTCGGAGAAATTTCCGCTCATTTCATGTTGTAAAAAGCACCCCAACCAGACACAAAATGTCACAAAAGAGTGGACCCAGTGAGAGGAGAGCTAGTGATTTTAATTACAAGACAGAAGTGTGAGGGCCCATTCACACCACCTCCAGACCAGACTGTTTCTGGACCTAAAATGCAGCCCAATGTTTCCCTATGCTCTTCTTGGCCTCAGTTCACACCATAGCAGTCAGTTCCAGACCAGAAAAATATTGCGTGTCACATTTTGTCTGGTCTGGAACGCACTGCAATGCGCACACACGTGTCAAAAACGCATCAGAAATGCACCGGAATGTGACGCAATGGGGAAAGAAAACTTCTTTTTTTTTGGCTGGTTTGGATGATCTCATCACCCCAGGACTTCCTGCTTCTGTGGAGAGAGAGATTTGTAAAGATAGGAACCATGATGGCTGAAGTGGACGCCAAATTCCTCAAGAACTTATGGAAGCCTGCCCAGAGCTGTATGATCCGAGGCATGCGCAATATAAGAACAATAATAGGAAGATGGACAAGTGGAGAGGGTATTGCTGCCCAGGTTGTCCCTGGCTAGGATCATTTGAGCAGCTCTGAAAAGAACAACTGGTAAGTTCATGTCTCTTATGTGCAAGCATTGTGCTGCTCTTTTCCTGGCTATCTGTAGGTCTTGCAGAGGTCCCCCAGCAAGACCTAAAATTGAACGTGGCAAAACACAAACGCAGTGCATTCCAGATCTGGTCCAGAAAATGGTGTGAACCAGCCCTTACTGTTGTGGGCAGTTCTTGATTAGATTTTGAGTCTCTTGAACTAATGTGCAACATGTGGAGAGCTCTACCAGAGAACAAATTAGGTGGGAGAAAAAAAAAAAAGAAGAAGAGCATTCCATGTAGAAGAATACTGCGGCAAGGGAATGACATCTTCTATGATCTTAAACCTTTTCTCTTGTAAGATGGCAACTTTTTTCATTCCCAAACATTAGGAACTGTATCACCAGTGTTAAATGTTTAACACTTCAGGAAACACTGTGATAAATAAAGTGGACCTATATTCAAAAAGTAAAGATTTGCTTTCTTCTAGAGAATATATAGGAGACTTTGCCTAAGCAGTAGCCTGAAAGGCTTGCCTTGAATTCCTCTTGAAAAATAGCTGTGCACTTCCTGGCATGTGACAGTTCTGTAGCCTAAAAGCTGTATATTTGAAGTGTGTGATCATCTACCGAATTGTTGCCTCTGACTACTAATCTCACAATTTTTGGAGTGAGATTTTGGGATGTCACTACTGTGCTGCTGTGGAAAGCAGAAAATCACCAGCACTCAGTAAATATCTTTGATGTCCATTTAAATCGGACCAATCGTCATGTACAAAATAGCGACGTTTCGGGACCGCACGGGATCCCTTCATCAGGGAGACAGTGTAACAAGTCCGTCTAAATCAATACAGCATGATGCCATTTGTCGGTGTGATTGTCACTGCGAGCACCACTACAAGTACTCGGGCCGGGAGCGCTGTGAGGAGTGCAGAGGGACTTACTATTTTCTACTACTTGCCTCCTGAGTAATCAGGTTCACAATTCATTTTTGAGTAGATTCCTCTAGATTTTTTTTCTTACACCATAATGCCCCCTCAACCTAACCACTGAGCCATCACCTTCTCAAACAATTCATCCCCACACAGCTACCTCCTCATGTATCACTTGCCCCTCCCTCTTAAATTGTAAGCCCTCACGGGCAGGGCCCTCCTTACCATCTTGTCTTGAATTGTATTGTGATTGTAATGTCTTCCTTATATTGTAAAGCGCTGC